TTAGTGGTGTGATGTAAGTTCAGGCCTGATTTGGGTAGGTTGCTGCGTGACACTGAAGTTCCAGCTGAGTTTGTTGATTATAAATTCCCAGTCAACCAGTTTTCTCCAGCATCGCTTAATAATCTGGGACAGAAATCCAGAGGATGAATGATTGAATTGATCTAAGCCTGGATGTTTGTAGGATGCATGCGGTATCAGGATAGGAACCATGGACATTGAGGAGGATGCTGTAAAGACTGACTAAAGTGAGGATATCTGGATGACATCAAGCAGGAAGTGAAATCAATAAGACTATAATACACTAGGAGAAGACAAACAGAGTGAGGAATTGAAGGTTTATATAAGATTTAAAGGTAGATGTTGGACAGTAAGGGTTTAAGGGAGACGGAAGATTGGAAATTATAGTAAGAGAGTAGAATATTGGCGTTAAATATTCCATAGCTAGAGAACTATCTAGGAAATATCTGGTAGTAGGGTGAGGCCATGACTGATGATGTAGACTGTAGATGAAGGCTTTTGGAGCGCAGGGATGTCAGGAGCTTTTGAGGCCTCATGGACACTGAAGCTGTATTTCATAATGGCTTAGCTATGAGGAGTCTATGAATGACAAAAATAAAAAAGGAACAATGTAACAGAGTTAGAGAACATGAACTTCAAAGAAATGAGGACTTTTTTCAGGAATGTAGAAATAATCTTCTGGAAATGACAGTGGAGAACCCATGTTATCGCTATCTCTAGTTTTAAGAGATCTGAAGTTCTAGCTCTTAGATATTTATCAGTGGCCTACTAGGCACTGTGCTAGGTGTGGGACAATGAGAAGCTTTCAACTGAGAGGAATGCATGGGATATGGGATCCTCAGGAAAAAAAAAATGCCAAAAGATGAAGTAACGTTCTGTACAGTGGTCTAAATTGTAGGAGTTTATTTATGTTGGGTGCTAGATGGTAATATGAAAACTTGCACAGAGGAAGTAAAAGGCCCTGAGGTTGGGAATGAGCAGGCTAAGATCCCAGGTCTTTGCTTTGCTGTCGGAAAAGAAATAATGTCTGAGAAGAAGACTTGTCTTTTCAAGAGTGCTCTCCCCATGTTGCAAGGAGAAAGATTAGCTGGAATGCTCCACTCTGGATAGAGTCTCAGTGATTGAAGTAGCTTCATAGGGCCTAGATTGATAGACTTGGCAAAGTTTGGAAAATAGCACCTTAGAAAGGCTGTGTGGAGGCTTGGATCAGTTTTGCTGGGAGTATTTCTATCAGATTTGTATCTGATAACGAGCCTTTTGACTGCAGTGTGACCAGAGAAAGAAAACTGGGGTGACAGTCCATAGTCCAAAAGGCCTGAACTTAGGCAGTACCCAGGGAATGAAGAGAGAAGCTCCTTTGGAGATATCCCTGACTAATTTGATGAAAGGAATTCTTTACCAACATGAGAGGTAACTTATCTTTTATACTTCAATTAGATCCTCGCTATTAGAACATTTTGTGAATTTCCCTGATTACTGGAAAAAAATTAAAAAAGCATCTATTTTTGAACATCTAAAGAGCAGAGCCCATCCAAGCTGTGGAGTCATGATGATGGATAGTAACACTATGTTTTTGACTCAGTGTCCCCTCACAGGAGTTTATAATAGTTTGCGATTACCGAAAGTGTAAGTGCAGAGCATGTGCAAAGCCTGTAGTGGCACCATTTTCTAACTTAGTGACCTTGGGAAAATTACTTAAACCCCACGTTCTTCCTCGGTAGAATGGAATACTAGAATACAGAAAATTATACCAAAAGGCCTGCAGGCCAAATATGGCCCACTGCCTGTTATTATAAATAAAGCTTTATTGGTACACAGCCATGCTCATTCTTGTATATATGGTATATGGTTGCTTTCACCCTACAATGGCAGAGGCGAGCAGTTGCTACAGAGGCCACGTGGTCTGTAAAGCCTAACTAGCCCTTTACAGAAAAAATGTGCCAACCACTGCTGTAAGAGAATCCACCACCACCACCAGTTGTCATTGAGTTGATTCCGATTTATGATGACCCCATGAATGTCAAAGAGAAATGGGCTCTGTAGGGTTTTCAATGGCTGATTTTTCAGAAGTAGATAGCCAGGTCTTTCTTCCAAGACACCTCAGGGTGGATTCAAACCACCAACCTTTTGGTTAGCACCCAAGTGCTTAACCATTTGCACCACCCAGGGATTACCCTTGGCTTATTACCTGAAACCCTTTTATTGTCTATAGAGTACCATACCATAAGGTAATACTCTTAGTTATGTGAAACCCTTTGTAGACTATAGAGTACATAGTATAAGTTGGTATGGTTCTTGGATAGCCTGTGAAAATATGACAATGACCCAAATAAAAATGCAATTGTTGGCCAGAGTGCAACTGGCTATACTCACAGTGTCAAGGTTTCATTGCACAGCCCCTGAAAAGCATTCACAGGAACCGAAGTCATGTAAGGGTTGTCTGTTATTTCACTGCAAGAGAAAGGGACAGAAACACTTGAGGAGAAAAAATACTTTGCTCTTGGACATGATCCAGCTCAGGGCTCTTGCTGCATATATGCACTTAAATGACTAACTTTACACAATATTTTAAGATCTTATCTCTTTTCAAGATTCATCGAATCTGCTTAGCCCTTGGTGTCTCAGCCCAGTGAGGTGGTGAGAGCTGTCCTAGATGGACATGCACTCAGAGCCCCAAATGCACAGTAAATAAATGAGATTTGGGTGCGGGCTGAGGTTCCTGACTTACTCTCTTCTACAAGAGGAGCAGGCGGGCCTCAGAGGCTTCTGAATCTGTGACACACTATCAATATAGCAACTAGAGTTTTCTATGTGTATGGAATCTCTAAGAAGGGTCAGGAGAAAAGGATCGGTGGATTTCATTTCAAGAGTGTTACTAAAATGTCCTCCATTTGCACCACTCTGCCAGGCAGATGCTCCTGGAGAACTTTTCTGTGCCAGCCTAGTTCCTGGAAGGCAGCCTATGTTTTGAGTTGAGCTCTTCTGCAGCAGAAGAATGTGATCATTTTTTGTTCTGGCAAAAGCCCCAGAGTTGGGATCTTATCACTCCACATTTTCCTGACTCTGTAGTGCTAACTCAACCTGTCGTTCTCTCTGAGTATGTCCTTTCTCTTCTGTACAATTAGAGTAAGACAATTGACCTGTGTTATTGGATTTGGAAAAGAGCACATGACCGTCAATCAGCAGTCACAGGAGATAGTCTGAACATCACTACTGAGTACTCCTTGGGATTTTGCTGTTTCCTCATTTGTCAAATGGAAAAAAATAACTTCCTTTTATGCCTGATAAAGTGGTTGGTTGTTATGGTCGCTCTATAATTTTCTCCCTGCAATTATCTCTTGAGCCCACTCCAATCAAGCTTCTCCACCCCCAGCACTCCACTGGAACTTTTCTTACTAGAATCATCAAGGCCCCACATGTCTAAATCTAATGCTCATTTCTTAGTCCTTGCCTTACTTCACCCATCAGTGCATTTGTTACAACTGATTGCTCCTTCCTCTTTGAAATAACTACCTCACTTGGTTTCAACCAACCTCCGTGGCTGCACCCTAGTACTTGTCGGTGACAAAAAAGAACATTGGCAAACACTGCATGTGTGAATACTTACAGTATAAAGAATACATCCGTGGAATAAACTTTGGTCAAGTCAGGAAATACTTTAAGTCCAGTGTTGAAAATTCCACTAAATTACATTAAAAAGAAGCAAAAAGGACAAAATTTAGGTTAGGAAATCAATATGTAAAAAGTAGAGTAATGTAATAGCTGAAAGCATGGATTCTGAAGGCAGACTGGAGTGGCAGTGGGTAAATTCTAACTCTTGGATGAGATAGCGTTCCCTCAAGGTACAAGAGTCCAACCCAGTCCACGAGTGCTTAGAGGAATCTGGGAATTCTTTAAACCAAATGAGACTAGAAGGTAAAAACAGGCATTTAAGTTTCTTTCTGTGTGGGAGAGAGAGACAGTTTTTGGGTGTGTCGTTTAATAGGATGGTGTTATGTAGGGAGGGGGAATAAGTGGAGGATGGGGCAGGAAGACAGCATGATGATCCAACTCCAAGCCAGACTTCCTCTTTCACACTCTACGTTATATTATGTTCGTATTTTGCGAAGAATGGCCTTCCCACAGCAGTTACCTGGGAGCACCATGGCAGCAGTACCATTTAAAAAATACATGCAGAGAAGGAGGGACGTTAGTAAATGACACATCTTAACTTTCCAAAGTTTGTGTCACCCAGGGCAAGATATTAAGATTTAAAAACATGCATAAAACAACATAAATAAATACAAAACCTCTCAGGCTCCCGATGCCTCCCACGTTTAGTTGGTTTAACATGTGTTGCAGCTACTAGAATGCCAGTAGTGGAAGCAGCAACTATTTTGAGAGGGATAGCATGCTGTGGGATGAGACTAGTCACCCAGTGAAGCTTTAGAGAAAATCTCTCAGTAGATACTTCTAGTACCATTGATGCATCTTCAAAGGCAAATACAGACTTGACTCCTTGCAGAAGGGAAGGCATAGAGTTTGAAGAGGAAGTAGGAGACAGAGCCTCAAAATGACAAATGGAACATTCCAGATAACAAAGGGGAGGGGTGAGATTCCATAAGATATATTTGAAGAATAGTCAACAAATGAGTTCAACTGAACAGGAGTTCATGTGGAAGAGTAGCGGGGGAAAGGCCCAAGAGTTAAGTGGAGGCCAGATAGTAAAAGGCTGGAAATGCCAGACTGGCGTCTTGGACCAGGACCTCTCTATTCTTCAAAATCCCAAGCAAGCCTGTCTGCTTTCTAACATCTCCTCTAATTCCCCAAGGCGCCCTAGTGGTACAATAGTTAAGCGCTTGGCTGCTAACCAAACGGTTTTTGGTTCAAACCCACCAGCCATTCCACGGGAGAAAAGACCTGGTGATCTCCTCTCGTAAAGATTACAGCCTTGGAAACCCTATGGGGCAGTTCTGTTCTGTAGAGTCGCTATGAGTTGGAATCAACTCTACAGCACACAACAACAATAACAATTACCTGTACCACCAAACACTGTGCATACCTCTCATTTGTCGCTTAGCATCGTTCTCGTGTAGGAGAGAACCTTTTCAATTTTGTGTGCAATATCTTCCCTATTAGACTGTAAAGCTTCTTGAAGGCAGGGAGAATGTCTTATAATCCTGTGTGTTCCCCACAGAGCCTTGCATATAGGAGGGTATCAGCATATCAAAGAGTTATTGGTTGATTGGAATCCAAATTCCATAGAAGGAGTGATCACCTTGTCTCACAAGTTTTTATTGCTCTCCAAGAGGTCCTCTTTGGATATCCCTTCAGCAGCATCTCCCATCAGTAGCCTCTTACAGTCTACCCATATCTCTCACTCACACCTCTTCAATGCTGAACTATTTTTAGCTCCACAAATAAGCCATGAGGTCTGGGTCTTTGTTCATGCTATTCTATCGGCTTGGATTTCCCTTCTACCTTCCCCCCTTCTTTTCCTGGATAACTTCTATTCATTCTTAAAGACTTATTTATCTCATAAATTATATATGGATAAAAGGCCTTGATGGAGATGAACTGAAATGTTAATAGTGATTATTTCTGGTCATTCGGGTTTTGTCTTTATTTTCTTCTTTATATTTTTTTGTTTTCTATTTTTTTAAAAATAATCCATGCAAGCAGGAAACAAGGAAAAAGTTCTTCTATCTGGTGCCTAGAGGATCTGAGTTCATATATACACAACCATTTAACACATTTTTATACCCTGGTGGCATAGTGGTTAACAGCTACGGCTGCTAACCGAAAGGTTGGCAGTTCAAATCCACCAGGCTCTCCTTGGAAACCCGATGGGGCAGTTCTATTTTGTTCTCCAGGGTTGCTATGAGTCAGAGTTGACTCGACAGCAATGGGTTTGGGTTTTTTGTTTTTTTGGTTTTTTTTGGTTACTCTGTGCTAGGCAGCAAAGATGGACAAGAGAACTAGAATGCCGCGGTCCTTGCCCTCATGGAGTTACAGTCAGCTCCTAAGATGTCACCAAAGCAAAACAGTGGGTGTTATTCCTCCCATTTTTTCTCTCTTCCCGCCATCACTCACACACACACACACACACACACACACACACACACACGATTGGATTTTACCCTTTGTAGTTTTTTTGGTGGGAGGGGCTATTTAACAGTTATTCTAATATTGCTTTGATACACATTTCCCTAATAAAATTGAAACATTGTCTCTGAGGGTTTTTTGTTTATTCATGTTGTTCTGGTATACTCCATTTAAAGACTACATATGCAGGATTACATTTTCTCCCTTGTGTGTCTTGGAGCCGGTCACTGGTCCCAGTACATTAAACCAAACCCATTGCTGTTGAGTTGATTCCAACTCACAGCAACCCTATAGGACAGGGTAGAACTGCCCCACAAGGTTTCCAAGGCTATAAATCTTTATGGAAGCAGACTGCCACATCTTTTCTCATGAAGGGGCTGATGGGTTTAAACTGTCGACCTTTTGGTTAGCAGCTGAGTGCTTAACCACTGCACCACGAAGCCTCCTTCCCAGCACACTGCTGACTTTTAAAAAGGTTTATAAAAATGTGGACCTTGTCACCTGACACCTTTTCTTTGACTGATAGAGAAAGTAGTGGGTAAGTCACAGGATGTGATTTGACCCAAGCAGATAAAAACCAAACTAAGCCTGTTGCTGTCAAGTCAATTCCTACTCATGGCGACCTCATGTGTTACAAAGTAGAACTGCTCCATAGAGTTTTCTAGGCTGTAATCTTTACAGAAGTAGATTGCCAGGTCTTTCTTTCATGGTACCCTGAGTGGGTTCAAACCGTCAACCTTTAGATTAATAGGTGAGCACAAACTGTTTGCGCTACCCAGAGACCTTTCTGGCAGACAACAGCATTGCAATTATCCAAAAAAAAAAAAAAGTAATGGGGAAGGAGTTAATACTCACAGGAACTTCAGGAGGGGGAGCTCTTTTAGGGCACCAGGGTCTATGTAAGTTAAGCTTCTGGTATTCCGAATCTCTCTGTAAATGTTAAAAGGAACACATTCACCATGATACATCCATTTCTGTTTTTATCAAAGATAAAACCACATCAAACAGGCTTAACAAACACTCCTGAGAAGAATATGTATTTGCATGGTGCCCCAGGGACTGCAGCTGCCAAGAGTCAATCCCATCAACAATGGCTCCAGCTCCTCACAGGGACATAAAGGCTGTCCAGCCTTATCTTATTACTTTGTCTTAATTGTAGTTTCAGAGCCTTTTTTCCCCTTTTAGATGTAGATAGCAAAGAAGGATCCACTCAGTGGTTTGCTGAGGACAATGGCAAGTATCCTGGCCAAGACAAGCAGCTCTGGAGGGGAAGGTTGAGTCAATTCCATGATGGATAAAAGCAGAGCAATCATGGCAGAGATTTTCCTTTCCCAGAGCTACTTCTCCCTGGTGGAGCAGTGGTTAAGAGCTTGGATGCTAACCAAAAGGTCTACAGTTTGAATCCACCAGCCGCTTCTTAGAAATCCTATAGGGGGTGCTATGAGTCGGAATCGACCTGATGGCAATGGGGTTTGGGTGCAGTGAATCTGAACTGTTCACTTGGATTTATTTTGCAATGTCAGTCATTTAATTTAAAACACTTCAACATATGTAGTATGATATCGTGTGTCTGTACCTTAAATACTTAGGTTTGTATATATGCTAATCAAGAATGCACAGACAGCATTAGTGAAATTAACTAATTGCTGTTGAGTCCACTGAGACTCATGGAGACTCCCTGTGTGTCACAGTAGAACTGTGCTCCACAGAGTTTTCAGTGGCTGCTTTTTTTGGAAGTAGATCGCCAGGTCTTTCTTCCCAGGCACCTCTAGGTGGACTCAAACCTCCAAGCTTTCAGTTAGTAGCTGCATGTGTTAACCATTTACACCACCCAAGGACTCCTTAGTGAAATTAGTGGTTTGCTAATTAGCCCAATGACTGTTAAAAATGGACTCTTATTGGTAAAATTAACCGTATTCAACGTACATACACTGGCTAAAAGAGTTTAAACGCACTGTCCATACTTTTATGAAGAGGATATAAGAACCCAGCAAGACCTATAGCCTTTTTCCTAGGACTCGCATCTGAACTTGATTCCTAAAGGGACAGAGGCTTAGAATCCAGCCTCTGGAATTAAAACAAAAACAATACAGTTTTACTGACGGATAGTTTCCATTCCATAAAATTCACCTATTGCAGGTATATAATTTCATGATTTTGAGCAAATTCATGGAATTGCACAACCATCATCAAAAAC